TTTGCTCGTGGCGAGCAGGAATACGTAAAATGAACCGGGGGAGCGCCGCCCAAGGGCACTGGTTTGCTGAGAGAACCCTTTCCGATCTGGACATAGAGCCCGCTGGAGGGGAGAAGGTGTGGGGCGAGTTGTAAATCCTTAACAGAGAAATCCCTTTGCCCCAAGATACTTGTGAATACATGGATTTAAATGTCGATTCTCTCTTGCCTCTCTCGATGGCTGTATCTCTCATGTTGTACTACTGCGGTACTGCTACCTAGCAAGTTTTTTTTCTGGTTAGTTGGTTGGGTTTTTTCCCCATGTGTGCAATAGCGTTTTGGGTTTTTTAAAGGGGAAACAAGTCTCTGTGCTGTGAATTTGAAAAAGCCAGTGTCCCGAGATCTCTTAACTGGAATGAAAAAGTAAGGTCAAATACTCTCTTCCTGTCTTCCGTTTTGCAGGTTGCCACTGAAGCTGTAAAACTAGTGTTAGCGCACCACACAGCCTACTGGGAAGCTTTAAAAGCCTGGCAATGCAGGAACAGGCATGGCCAGGTGTTAACTGGACTGTAATGAGCTTAATAGGGTATTGGTGTCTGTCAGATTAATCAGATTACTTATTAACAAGACAGCAAGAACCCTATAATTAACATGGATGTCTTGCTGCAAAAATCCTTTAGTTCCTTTTATCAAAGGTGTACACCAGTGAGTCTCAGATTTTAAAAAGCAGCACATACTCCGAGGTGTTGGACACTTTCTCATTTTTTCTTGAGTAGTATCACTGACAAAATGTGAATGGGTATGGTTTCAAGGGGCTGACCAGGAATAGTTGGCCTGGGAAGAAAAGGAAGGTAGCTAGGTATTTTTCTGCTGCTTTTTGTCTGTAATAAGACATTACAGGAGAGCCTTTGTGACCCTTGGGTTTCTTTATCAATACCCTCCCTTTGACAGTCACAACCTACTGAGAGAGATGCATTGATAGTCATAGTGTGAACTGAACTGTTGCTGGTTTTGATTCTTTCAGGTTTGTCATCAAAGGAAGCCTGGCTGGAGCTGCTGTCTATGTGGCTTATGATCAGGGGCTGCTGGGCAGTGGCACACAAGGTGCTGAAGCCCTCAAAAAAGCTCAAGCAGCACTGCCTCCAGCTATCCAAGAGTGGACAAGTTACATAGGCTGGGAGGTAAGGACTGTGCAGGTGAACACAGTCAGCAAAACAAACACATTCTCTGAATGAGGAGGAGAAAACACTGAGGTGATATTTGGTTCCAGTGATGCTGGCAGGAGTTTTGCTGTTGAAACTGGATTTCACAACGAGAGTATTTTGAAGTCGATTGAAATGGAAGGAGGATAAAACTTTAAATTTAGGGGAGAGACATTGCTCACATTGTTTCAAAGGAGAAGGGGTAACAAGCCCATGCAGGGTCAAGGAGGAGATTGCAAGCATGCTGTGGAAGAGATTTCACTATGTAGCGGTATTCCTGAGCTTCTTTTGAAGGATCCTGCATGCTTTTGAAAAAATTAATGAAAAGATTCTCCCCCCCCCGATTTCTCAAGCTGCTAACAGTTCGTCAAGTTGAATTTAATTTGACTGAAGAGGCCCTTCTCTGAGTAATTCTTAGTTCTTAAAATCCTCAGAATGGGAGAAGCCTTTGCTGAAAGTTTGAAAAGCATTTTTTATATTAGAGACTATTCTGAACTAATAGATAACTGTAAGGAGGCAGCCATGGAGATGATTTTTCAGGAGCACCCAAGTGATAAGTACTGTCTTCTGCTCCTGCTTTATACTGGGGGAAAGAGCAAAGTCCAGACTGTAAGCATCATGTCTGATCCCTTTTGAGACTTAGAGAAAGTAAGCACCTAAGTATCTTTGAGATCTGAGGTGAAAAGGCTTCTCCGAGATGATGTGAATCCTGTTCTAAGTGATACCCCTCAAGTGCTGATGTTTTGTCTCTCTTTCTCTTTCTAGCTCCCACCCACTCCAAAATTTGACTTTTCCCCTTCTGATTCCTGGAATAAAGGTAAAAAAACTTCTCAACAAACTGTGAAAGAAGCAAGGGGCCAAGAGTGATGTAGCTTATAGTAGTCTTGTTTCAGTACTGTCCTTCTAAATTGAGTGACGGAGAAGGAGGTGATAGATGTTACAGCCTGGTGGAAGGAGTATTGGGACTGGGACTAAGGAAGCATATTCTGCTCCAGGTTTTACCAATAGCACACTGAGTGACTTTGGACTTCATTTCTTGTTCCAACTGTGAAATGAGGAGGAGTATGTGTGCCTGTAAACCTGTCTGCCTTTTCTAACCAGAGGAGGTGGTGTTTCTTTTACCTACAAAGCTTGCTGCCCACCTGTTCCCAAAGACAGGTACACCTACACTGTCCTAGAGTTTAAGATTGAATGTTTTGGTGAAGTGTTTGGGGAGGCCTGTGGCCCCCACAATGATAGATAGTGTTTATGCACTAGTAGTGATCAGGGAAACTAGAGCATAAAAATAAATCATGACTTATTCTTAAGAAAGGTGAACCTTTGGTTAAAGATTGAAGAGGTTATAAACTCTTCAGATGCTAGTATGTCTGAACGCAGCCTCTGACTTTTCAGAAGGGATGAGTATTCCTATTGTTTTTAGAATTTTAGAGATCTTGTTTGAAGGCCAAAGCATGTTACAAATACTTAGTAAGTTAATTTATATTTTTTATGGTGCAGCAAAAAGTCTTCATGTAATTGTGGAGAAACACAGCCCACAAATGTTGTGACATGTCCAACATCACCCCTGGAGTCTGTGGCAAGGCCAGAAATGAAGTGGAACTTAGATCTGTTCTTTGTTTCAGTCTTGTAATTGTCTTGTAATCCCTTACACTGATCCTGAAGTTGGAATTTCTCCGTGTCACAAATCCTACTGAGACAATAAAGCTGTACTGGAACCAAGGATCATTCAGGTCTCAGTCTGTTTGAAAGCTTCTGAGATAGAGCTGGATTTTTCTGTCAGTGTTTAAAGAGGTCTACAATGCTAGAATAACATTAGGAAATTTGGCTTGAATGATGCTGCTTTTGGGATAATTATTCTCTGCTTTCCTTGCAGGAGTGCAGACGGTAATGTCTGCCTTGTCTGTAGCTCCTACCAGGGCCTGTGAATACACTGTGGAAGGCTGGAAGTATGTGAAGGATCTTGTCAAATGAACACATTCTCCAGGGTTCATGGTTCTCTCCATCCTCTGTTGTCTTTGGGATGATGCATAGTCCATCCTTCTGGAGGGCAGCTCAGCCATGCAAGGGCTACAATAAAAGACTTTGGAACTTCCACTTGTATTTGGGTTGGTTTTAGCATACAGACTGCAATAATTGCTTTCTGTTCTATCAGTGATCAGAGGCTTCAACAGAGATCATGGATCAGTTGTAATGAAGTGATGGCCGTATGCTGAGGTGTAGCCCCTGTTCTAAAGCTTCCAAGCTTGCTAACTAAACAGATTATTCTGAAGCTGAATTAATCTTGAAGGTGAATACCATCTAATTCAAAACAAGCCAACGAGAGTTAAAAAAAATATTTAAAAAATCCAAGGTAACAGTAAAAGATGTCATTTGAAGACAAGGCACTTGTCTTCAAGCTAGCTGAGGAAGGTGTGCCTCTGTCAAGAGCACATTGATGTGCAGGTGCTTCCAGGTGGTCTGTGACTTGTCATACAACTGGGAGTAGGCAGTACTAGGTGCAATATTTGTTGATGACAGTGTGCAATAGAAGGGAGTTTCTAAGTCTGGGATGCAAAACTCTAGCAAATCAAAGGAAAGTTTTAATACCCGACCCCAGTCTATTCGGCCCTTGAGCAGTGTCAGCGTTCCTAGTACCTGAGCTCAAACAACAAAATCACAGTACTGTTTTAACTGTAACTTTTCCAGCATCTGATCCAAATATGCCCTTGGATGCATAGTCAATGACAAGTAGCACTGTTAAATTTACACCTGTATCTGAATTCTCAGCTCCACAGCATAGGTTATTTGGAGGTAAGGGTTTATATTTTAGATTTTAGCAGCTGTTGGCTAGAACTAAGTGGATTCAGTTTGTCTCTTTAAGTGAAAAAGTATTCTGTCTGCTGGCTTCTTTAAATGCCTGTAAAATAAGGCTGGAAGTACCTTTAAGATGCTGGCACCTCATGTGTGTAAAGCTGTTTGGCAACAGAGCAAGAGAGAAAATGGAAATGGGAATGATCTCCAATCACAGCAGAGTTCCCGTGGAAGGGAGGCTAAAGCTGAGGGCTTTGCTACTTTGTCTAAACCTAGTGCCCCCGTGAAGAATTAGGCAGAGGCACCTCAGGAACGGAGCCCATTGCCTGCAACTGTCTTTGTGTATTATAAGTTCTTTGCAAAGGAGCAATGCTGCTCTGCTGAGCTATGAACAAATACATGAATGTGAGCTAAATTCTCAGATGGCCACTGAATAACTCTGCAATCTGCATGGATGTGTTTTCATTCCCTTATGTTTTGAATGCCTGGAGACATCAAGCTGTGTTTTCCTACCAGACTTTCTCCTAGTTTTTGCATGAATAAAACCAGAAACATGATTTTTTTTTTTTTAAACCAGAAACCTTGTTTGCTGATAAGAACGAATACAAAAGGGGAGATGGGAAGGGACATTCCCAGCAAGCAAGGATATTCTCTTGCTATCTATCTCTCCTTCCACAGGAGACAGATAGCTCCTCTGAGAAGGAGGAAGAGGAGCAAAAATTACTGTGCACTTCTCTGTTCCCTGCCAAAATATCCAGAAGATGCTGAAAGTGACAACTACCTGTCAAATCAACACAAGAAATAGGGTAAATTTCATTTGGCATGGACCATCATGACCACGTATCAGGGGCATATGGAGAAGAACCAGAGGTAGCCGTGAGGAAATTGTTTGCTGGTGGTATACGTCTGTAGAAGAGGCAGTCAACACTTTTTTGGTAGAACAGAAGCGTGTTAAGTTAAGGCCTGGGCAGAATTCCCGGCAACTCATTCCTGCCATTGAGTTTTCTGGTGATTTTTTTTTTTTTCTTCATGTGAGCAAGATGAACGTCCATATCATGATCAGTTAGGTACTAACATTTTGTTCTCATGGTGGAAGTACTAGCGGGCACACAGAGGCAGGGATGAGGGTTGCTGAAAAAGCTGAAGAGATGTTATCACAGCAGTATTGCTAGGAGACCAAACAAGGATGTAGCATGGCAGGTTTAGAAGAAAAAGAGCTCATTAGCAAGACATCTACAGGAATTAATTCCAAAATACTTTTGATGTATGTGTTCAGTCCTGCCACGTGTTCCCGTCCCCCTACAACGCTGTGGCGTTCTCTGCCTCGTGAGCCGTTTGGTTTGGTATCCCTAGAACAGGCCAAAAACTACATCTGCTGTTAGTGCACGTTACTTTTTAACCTCTCCAGCTATGTCCAGGACATGAAAAGGCAGGAAACAGAGGCAGCTAATCAGTTATCTGTAGTTGTCTCTTACCTTTGCTGCTATGAAGGGTTCTTGCAAAAAAGGAAGACAGTACCAGTTGCTGACAAAGCAAGGATTCTCAGAAGCACAATCCACCAGCGTGTCCAGAGGACAAAAAGAGACACATTGAAGGCTAATTCTCTGCAGGCTGTACTCCAGAGGCACTCCTGGGAGTAGCATAGCTTGGACATATCAGGTCTTGAAGGTACACGTCTGCAAATGCCTTTCAAGTGATGCATGCTTTCTCATAGGCCTTTGGAGCTGCCTTTTTGTACATATCCACCGATGATGGAATGCATCTGAGTGGTGAGCTATCTAGTAGGTTTTTTCCTGAATCTAAGCAAGAGGAATTATACCAGTAGACAAGTGGCTTGCCAGACTCATCAGTTCAGCGGCGGCATTGCATACAAGAAATTGTGAATCTCGGCACCTTCACTGTGCATCAGTCTCTCCTTCCTGCTGGCACTTTTGAAGCTACTCCGAGATGGAGAAACAAAATCCTTCGCTGATGCTCCCCTTCAAAATGGCAGTGTCTTCCAGCTCAGTAAGGTCTAAAATGGAGTTACTCACTCTTGTTCTGCATCCATCTTCATCCACATTCTGGCAGATGTGAAAATTTTCACAGTAGGCCATCTTAGCTCTGCAGGAAGAAGCTGGTGTCCACAGGAACTGTGTGGCATTGTAGTAACACGCCAGTAGAGAAATATGCATGCGTGGCCTAGGACAGTTATACATGCACAGGGAGAGTAACTGAGCCAAGTGTATCTGCATTAATCATTTGCTAGCTTGCAATATGCTCCAGTTTGTGCATGTTTTAATTTTAATGATGAAAACTTTCCTGAAGAGCACCAGTGACCTAGAGGGCATCAGTATTGTAAGATGGAGTTACAGTTTTATTCTCTATTTTTAACCCTTTGCGATGGGATTGTGGTATGAGGTTGCAGAAGTCATTAAGACATGGTGGAGCATTGGTATGAATCTGTTCCTTCTTCACAGGAAGCATCTATGCGTATATTGGATGGGTCGTTGTAAATACACAGCTTGTAACCGCTTGGTCCTCAGATTTCTGTTTGTACCAGAGCTGCTGCTTATGCTTCCAGAACTAGGGACAGAGATTGTCCTCGCTGCTGGCAGCAGAACAGCATTTCTCCCACACTGACATGCTAACACAGTGCTGGTTACAGAGTGAGCCAAAACACAGCCGCAGGACTGGAAATAGGCAGGGGTTGGCAGGGAGAGCAGGATGAGCGCTTACTCATGACTTGCGGGCATTTTGTTTCCTTTTTTGAACAAATAGTTATATGATGAAACTTACTCCCAAGAGATTTCAGAGGATTTGGCTACGGTATAAATAGCTTTAAAAAGCGCTTACGTTAATTCCTGGAGTATGGGTCCATCAGTGGCTCTTAAACCTAATGGTCCAGATGGAAGCTACAGCTCAGTAAACCTCAGAGTGCCAGACACTGAGAGTTTATCACCTGACAAAGGACTGCTCTACATGCACCCTGTTCCAACATACTTTTCTTTACACACCTGCCTCTAAAAGAGAAAGAATACTGAGCAGGAAGGACTTTTTCATCTGACCTAGTGTATCTATTCTCCTATTATATCTCAATGACAATGGGTACCTTCAATAAGGGACTGATCCTTTCATACAGTTGGTGGATTTGAGTTGAATATTTTGCCAAGTCTGGTTTGTGACCTATAGAAATAATTGTAGGTAAGAAGGATACTAATCAGATTCCTTTGTTAAGCAGCCAGACTTAAGTGTCAGTGTAGAAATTGACTTGTTAAAATAGTACCTGTGCTGCAATGCACAGAATTGTCGAGCTTGGAAGGAACCTTTCAAGATAATCTAGTTCAACCTCCATGCTCAAGCAAGGTCAACTAGACCAGGTTGGCCAGGACCATGTCCAGCCGGGTTTTGAACATGTCAAAGGATGCAGACTCCGCAACCTCTCTGGGTGACCTGCACCAGTGTTTGACTGCCCTCACAGTAAAAAAAGTGTTTTCTTTGGTTCAGCTCACCCAGCAGTACCTTTTCTCTTTCTCAACATGGTGACACTGGATACTGCCAGAGTGGCCAGGCACCACTACACTAAACAGTTGTGGAATATTTTCCTCACAAAAAGAGTTGGCATTAGCAGGTAGGTCTAAAGACTCCCCAGTGCATTTTGTAGTTGTGTATTCTATTTCTGCATAAATATCCCATCCTCCTTTCCAGTTTTTAGCTTTTTGCTTCATAGATGTTTTGTAATAACAACCTTCACAGGCACCTTTTTCTGTCACCAGTTAGCAAGCACTCTGACTGTCTCCAGTGGACCTGTCTAATAGAAAGATAAAAAGTTTACATCTGGCAGCATTGTGGTACTAAAAGCAGGATTATGGGATGCTCCCATCCCATCTCCAAATTTACCGGTATCTTTTCAAGCCCTTAATATCTCTGGATACACGTGGGGGGAAAGAAAAAGGGGAAAATGGGGGAAGAAAAAAAAAAAAAAAAAAAAAAAAAAAAAGAAAGAAAAATAAAAGCACAAGCAGCTTTTACTAACCCCATTTGAGCAGATTTGTTTCCCCATGCTGCAAAAAGGATTAATTGGCCTTGGGAGCTGATGCAGAGCATTTTTTCCAGTTGACCAGTTAGTGTTCTCAAAGGCCCAGTCTTATCTTCTCTGGGCAGAGTTCTCCCTAAGGGAACAGCCATGCCTGCAGCACGGA